CGACTTCCATTGAATGAATATTATAAGGCCATCTCATTTTAAATTAAATATTTTACAAAAATCGCAAACGTCTATGTGAAGGGTTCTCAGAGAGTTTGGTTCATTCTTTACTCGCAAAAGTACCAGAGAGTCGGACTTCGTTCTTTGCAAGCTTAACAAGACGAGAGCAATAATATCGATTATCAGTGAAGAGGCCAGTCAGTCTCAAATTAAAACTTTCTTGTGTTCTTTATTTTTTTGCTGGGTTTGTTTGATATGTTCGTGTTATTGCCTTTTTGGAATTGTTATGTTAGATTAGTTTAAGAGGAAATTTTGTTTAGTTTAGTTTAAGGTGATTTTTAAAATGTTATTACCTTAGTTAAACTATTTTCTTCCTGGTTTTATGGTCTTATGGTCATACTAAAGCTTTGAAGGAGTTTCGCGTATGCGTGGCATGTCACGACATTTGACTTGATATGCATGGCGTGTCATCACATTTTACTTGTTATGCATGGCGTGTAACCACATTTGTGCCATGTTTTGTAGATGCAGTCCAGATAGTATGAGGATCTTGACAGTAGCCTTATTGTGCCAAGGGAGAAATGGGCATTCAATGTCACGATTAACACCCATTGTAAGTGGTCACAATTGCACTACATCAGGAAGACTCTCCAAGAGAAAAGGGAGTATGATGTAGTGAAGTGAACGTGCTTCGGAATGTTGCTGGACGTATATCCGCAACGCTACTTTTGCACTGGACTCTTGCATAACATCATGATTCGTCGAATCAGTGAGAGAGATTCAATGGAACATGAGCTATGGTTTGCCATTGGGAAGAGCAAGGCACGCATATTGAAGCAAGAGTTCTGCCTTATCATGCGACTGAAGTTTGATCGAATGCCCGATGTGTTCAGCTGACCATACGAAGTTGGTGCTGACGAAATTCATACGAGATACTGGAACAAGTAGGAGAGCGTTAAGCTGCAGTGGTTGCTTCAAACATTCCGCGATGGCAATTTTCAGCAACCAGGAGACACAACCAAGGTGGCACTAATCTTGATCGCGAATAACATTTTATTTGG